TGACTTTTTTTAAAGTAAAGTTAAGCAAAGTCTATTGAGCAATAGTACAAAGCTTTTGAAGGAGGGAGAGGGACCCCACAGGGCTGCCCTGAGGTTGACATTTATAGAGATGGAGAAGATCAGTTTTAGCAGGGAAATCAGGAATTCCAATGTGGATCTTAAAAGGGAGCTGCCTCTTGGCATCTGAGAGGAGATGACAAGTAGTCACGTAACTTGTAGGAATCTGGAGTTTGGTGGGAAAGGCTTGGCTATCGGTATGGGCATGGTAATGGAAGGCAGGGGATGGACAGCTGTCCCCTAGGGAAAGTGCAGGGCTGCACTCCGGCCAATGGCTTGCAGAGTAAGTAAGAGGAGGGCAGGTGGAAGATGACAGCCACTGGTGAGCGTTGGGGAGCTCCCAAAATCTATCCTTGATCAGAAGATTGAGAGACAGGTGCCAGAAGAGATGTGAAAAAGGGTGTGAGTGGCTGAGATTTGGGGTACCCTTTGCTTTGAGCGTAGAAGTCACAGTGATGCAGGGAGTTGGGGTGGGGGTGAGGAGCCTGATCCACTAAAGTTTGAAGAATGATAGGGACAGAGAATGTTCTAGATGCAGCAGTAGTAGCAGATGCTCTGGCTTTTGGAAGTGTCAGGTGTGTTCACAGCTAGGAGGCTAGAAAACAGAATTGGAAAACTGAAAGGCTGCCCAGAGACTGCAGGAGAGTTGTGTCCCCAGGGTCCAGCCAGACTCTGCTAAGAGCAAGGAGCCAAGGGTATTGGGGAGTTTACCAGTCATTGCAGGGAATTTCAGGGAGTTTCATGGAGGGCTGGGGACAGGAGCCAAGCCAGACTGTTGGTGGCAGCTTGGAAGGAAGATCTTTGTTTATGGTGTTAAAGTGTCCTCCTAATCCAAGCGTGAAGGATGTATGGTTTTCTTAGTGCTGGTGGTGTGGGAAGATGTGTGGGGATAAGGGCCATGATGATGAAGAGGTGTTAGAGTAGCCGGTAGGAGAGGAGGAAGACAGGAAGGCCAGCCCTGAGCTCTGAAAGCCCCAAAGTCAGGTCAGAAGCCTCTGCAGGTCCACAGTACAGAGAGAAGGTGGTGAAGAGAAGGTGGTGCGAGGAGTGAGGAGGCTGGTAGAGGGAACACAGGGAGCTGGGGCAGTGATCCATTTTGAGATCCATTTTGATCTATCTTACGCATGATAGATTCTTACATGTGACATCTGTACCCAGGAACCATAAGGTACTAGGCTCTGTGTTTGGTCATGGAGATCTCAAGTGTTTATGTGAGTCGTCGTTGCCCTGAAAACCTTTGGCCCTTGTTGGTGTCCATGGGGCTCAACCTGGCTTTTTGGGATTTGGGCACTGAAGGGGATTGCAAATGTCTTTAATAAATCAAGAACTGGGGGTGAAAGAAGTTTGCTTAATTGAGTAATTTCATCTAAGTTATTAGAGCTTTTTTTAAGGGGGCCCACATGTGATTAAAAGTTACGTCATCGTCAAGGCTGGTATTTGTCTGGTGGGTCTTTTGAAATGTTCAGAGCACCCTCAGCTGATGCCCTCAGCAGCCTTGGGAAGTGTTCTCCCCATTTGCCGGAGGTCAGTACAGGGAGTTCATAATATTTGTCCTTCATGACTACACTATTTTGCATCCCTACTGGCTGTGTGCAAGGGCTGCCAATTTCTCGCCACACTTGTTATTTATTTATTTTTGATTGTCACCATGCTAATACATGTGAGATTTTATCTCACTGTGGTTTTTATTTCCTTTTCTGCAAAGATGAGCATCTTTTCCTCTGCAAACAATTTTAAAGAGGGCCTTTCAGGGCAAGGTGTCATCATCTGGGTATGTTCCACTGCTAATTGCCTCAGAATTTTCTATGGGGAATAACCATGCATTAAGTGTCCTCATACATTATTACCAACCTGTTTGATGGTAAAGCTCACAGATTGATACTTTTGTCTGGGAAGGAAATTGAGACAGAGTTACTGGGTGATCTGCAAGCAGTCCTGGGGATGCTGACCTGGAGAATGGAGTGAAGAGTGGTCCGGGACTCCGGGGTTCCCAGTACCTTTGTTGGGACCAGAATCCCAGTTTTCCAGCTCCTGGGTTGGGGGTTTTAGAGGTACTGAGCTACCAGGATGAGCAAGAAAATATTAAGCCCAGTTTCTCTTTTTGCTGCTGCTGCTTTTTTTTTTTTTTTTTAAGATTTTATTTATTTATTCATGAGAGACAGAGAGAGAGAGAGGCAGAGACACAGGCAGAGGGAGAAGCAGGCTCCATGTAGGGAGCCCGATGTGGGCCGGGAGCCCAATGCGGCGGGCCTCGATCTCGGGTCTCTAGGATCACGCCCTGGGCTGAAGGCAGATGCTTAACTGCTGAGCCACCCAGGCGTCCCTCTTTTTGCTTCCTTTATGATTCCCAGACATTTCATTTATTCAACAAAAACCTAGAGCCTCTTCTGTACCCGGTGTTAGTGCTGGGATAAAGTGTGAGTAAGAGAAATAGGATCTCTATTTTCACAGGTTATCCTCTGATATCAGAAATTTCCTCTCTGTGGAATGCCTGGGTGGCTCAGTGGATGAGCATCTGCCTTCAGCTCAGATCGTGATCCTGGGCTCCTGGGCTCCTGGGATCTAGTCCTGCATCGGGCTCCCTGCACGGAGCCTGCTTCTCCCTCTGCCTGTGTCTCTGCCTCTCTGCCTGCCTGCCTGTCTCTCTGTGTCTCTCATGAATAAATAAAATCTTTTAAAAAAATAAAAACTTAAAAAGAGAATAACATCAGTTTAAAAAAAAATTTCCTCTCTGGCAAAATCAGTGAAATGGTGTTCAATGTTAGGCTGGCTCTGCATGTTAATTATTGTCATTTACATAGCATATAGTGGATTTGTATAGGGCTTTTTTGATACTCTGTCCATTTTTTTTCATTATTAGTAATTTGTAGAGATCATTTGAAATTATATAAATACTCCATATCAAACTTGCACCCATGAGTTTTAACTTCATTGGTTAAGTGCATTATTTGTTTGCATTCTAGAGTTTTCCTTCTCTCTCATTTATGTGGCAGGATCGTTTAATGGACAGTGTGACTCATTGCCATTTATTTATTTGATGCTAGAAGTTTCCCAGAAACTTCTGAGATAGCCCATTGAGCTGTCTGCTCTATCCTTTGGGCACATGCTTGTGATTCCTTGAGTGCTTCCTTATTTTATGGTGTGAGATGTTCCAGGCCCATCTTGTACTTTTCTCTGCTTCTGTGTTTGTGTCAGCCTACGGAAGAGCTGCTGTTGCTAGGAATGCCTTGGGCACTGCTCGCCTGAGCCCATCTACTTGTGCAGCCCCATAGGCATTTCGCTTTTGCAGCCAGTGCCGTGGCCAGATCAGGCGTAGTGATTCATGTGGTTGCAGGACTTATCTCAGCAACAGCCTTTAGGGAACTTTAGAAAAGACAAGATTGATTATTCATGTGTTCTAGCTCGTGCCCGGCATGCCTGGGGCCACATGGCCAGGTCAAAGCTGGGAGGAGTGGGGCTGGGAGCACACCTGTGCATGGACACACCTGGATCTGGGGTTCTGTCTTCATAGAGTTGAGGGTGGGGGTGCCTGGGGTTTCACAAGTTCTCCTTTTATTGGTGAATTTAAAACATAAGAAGGAACTAAAGCACAGGAATGAAAAAGCAAGTGGTCAAATGGCCAGTTATCTAGGTCAACCGGGTCTTAAAAGAAGAAGAGAAGAAAGACTGCTAACCATGGGTGGGTGGCCTGGCGCTTTGTCCAGTGGCTGGTGGTGTCTCTGTTTGAGATGGAGGTCTTTGAAGTGGATGCCTCAGCAATGAAAAGCATTATGTCAGGCATTTATTTTATTTTATTTTTTATAAGGCAAATTCTTATTTATTTTTTTAAAAGATTATTTATTTATTTATTCATAGAGACAGAGACAGAGACAGAGAGAGAGAGAGACAGACAGACAGACAGACAGACAGGCAGAGGGAGAAGCAGGCTCCATGCAGGGAGCCTGATGTGGGACTGGATCCAGGGTCTTCAGGATCATGCCCTGGGCTGCAGGCAGCGCTAAACTGCTGCGCCACTGTCCTATGTCAGGCATTTAAATTACAGTAAAGGTAATTGTCAGGTGCATCCTTAAACTGACCCAACCTCAAATCAGACATTTCTTCTAGGAGACCTGATTCCTTTTAGGGAAGAAAGATATTAAAACTCCCAGATCTGGGTGAAGGGGACAGGAAGTCTCAGTGATGCCTTGGGCTACATGGTGACTATAGTCAGTAATGCTGTATTCCATAATTAAAAGTTGCTAAGAGGGTAGCTTTTAAAAGTTCTCGTCATAAGAAAAACAATTTTTGTAACTGTGTATCGTAAAAAAAACAAAAGAAAACAAAACCTGAAAACCTCCCAAATCTGAGCACAGGGTTAGGGTTGCTTTTTGCTGCTGTATGTCCCTGCTTCCTGGGGCATCTCAGTGGATAGAACTGTGTGTGTATGTCCTACCTATATATCTTTACATTTAAAATGGAGACTTCCAAAAAATTGAACTATGATTGTCATACGATGTCATGTTAGTTTCAGATATACAACATTTTATTTCGACAACTCTGTGGGTTTTGCTGTGGCATGTGGCTGCTTTCTGTGTCACCACACACCACTGTTATAAAACCACTGACTCTGTTCTGGATGCTGTCGCTTTCATCCCATAACTGGAAGCCTGGACCGCCAACCCCCCTTTTCATACATCCCCTGTCCCTTCCCTCTGGCAACATCAGTTCTTTGTATTTATGGGTCTGTTTCCGCTTTTTGTTTGTTCATTGTGTTTTTAGATTCCACATATAAGTGAAATCATATGGTATTTTGTCTTTTAAACTTTGTGTGGGTTTTTTTTTTTTTTTACACTTTGTTTTTTTAAAAACAAACCCCCTACAAAACCCCTGGAATGTAGGATTCTAATTAGACAGAGGTATAATTTGGATATGTTACTTTTCGCTTTTCTCTTAATTTTTAACAGGTGGTTGAACCCCTTGTTTAAAATTGGTCACAAACGGAGGTTAGAAGAAGATGATATGTATTCCGTGCTTCCAGAAGACCGCTCCAAGCACCTGGGAGAAGAGTTGCAAGGGTAAGCCACAGGCAGGAATGAAAAGGGTAAGGAGAAATGAGAATTTTGAAGTGTGTGTCTGATGGTTGGATGGGTTTTGCCTCCCCCAGGCCCTCCTGGAACCTCCGTTTGTTACCCACCTACTCTCAGGCTGTCCCTGAACTTAGCCTACTTTGCTGACTGAGGAAAAAAAAACCCCTGTGTTTCCTGTGCTTTTGTGGAGTGGAGGTTGCCAGTGGCAAAGGCCCTGGATGCCAAGATCTGTCCCCAGAGGTGGGATCCCTGGAGGAGGTTGTCTGTACTTGTCTGCCTTCCTGGCCTGCTCTTGGCAATAGTAAATCCACCAAAGCTCGGCAGCGACTGGTTTCCTGAGACTGGAACTTTTCCTCTCAAGACATGTTTTTCTGGTGCTTCAGATCCTGCATCACACATCTTTCAGGGGCCATTTAAACAATTAGCCAGAGCTGATGGAGCAGCCATGGAGTGCCCTGGAATCAACCCCGAGCTCTGGCTCTGCCTACACTGTTTGGCCCTGTGGTCGGGTGTCTGTTTCTCACCGTGCCTTGTTTTTCTCCTTGCAGGTACTGGGATAAAGAAGTTCAGAAAGCCGAGAAGTCGGACGCACGGAAACCTTCTTTAACGAAAGCAATCATAAAGTGTTACTGGAAATCCTATTTAGTTTTGGGAATTTTTACGCTAATTGAGGTAACAGCTTTCTTATGTGGTGTGTTTTATTTCAGTGTGTGGGGATGGGTACTGAGGCAGGCAGCCCTTTTGGGGGAAAGAGGCATAGGGTCTGAGGATAAAACATATGTAGGATACATGGTGTAGCTCAGTGGTTGTATTCATTGTCAGAATGGGCAGATACTTAAGTGGACCTCAGGGGGATTACTGTTTTTCTTCTAATGAATTAAAAGGCTGTGGTATGGAAGGGTGGTGCTGAGAATTAAGTTTTATTCCGAGTGAGGATATTGTTGGTGCGCAGTAAATGTTGTAAATGCTAAGAGTGATCCTTGACCCAAAGAAGACTCTACAACCTCAAGGAATATGTGCCTCTGGTTTGGAGGAAGTAAATTTGGGTCAGAACCCAGAATAATATAGAACATTTCATAGATGCTTAGCAAATAATAGCTAATTTGACCAGGTGAAATCTGATAAATGTTTTCTTCAGAAGGCTTTATTGCCTTTCACCTTCCAGGGGAACAGAGCCCCAGGACCCTGTGTCTGGGCTGGAGCTGGCCAGAGCTCTCAAGAGCACATGTTTCTCTGGGCTGCCCCCTTTCCAGTAGGACATGTACTACAAGCCAAAACCCCCTCTGTGGAGGATCTCTGGCCTCATGAATTCCGGAGGATTCCTGGCCCACCCATTCTGGTTTCCTGTCCCTGGTTATTGGGGTGGATTGCTGGTTGGAAGGTGGGGCTTTGGTAGTATGACATTGCAGCTACTATAGGGTGATGTGCAATGGAAACCCAAAGGCAGAAAGCCATGAGGTCAGTGACCTCCATTATCCTGATGGGCCTTAGTCAGGATCCTCCAGTAAGACTGTTATCCCGGGCACAGGGCCAGTGAGCCTCTACCTGTTCTGGGCTGAGGCCTGCTGGAAGTATGCCACCTGGGTGGCTGTGGTCTCTGTGGTACTTGAGGATGGCCTTAGGGACATGCGTGGTCCTGTGAGTGTATGAGAGTCGTAGGGAGAGAAGTTGGCAGTTGCTGTGAAAAGTGGTTTTTAGGTGGAGAAAGGTGGTGAGTGGGTTTTGTTGGGTGTGAGATGGGTGGGCGGGTTGATTTGTATGTGGGATGGGAGCTCTGGGGTAAAAGGCTCTGTTGTTTTGAAGGGCAGCCAGTAGGTAAGTGATCCCTGCCCTGTATCACTGGAGAAAACCAGAGAGTCTGTCCACTAACAAGTGATAGATAGTGATAGTCCTGGGAGATAGAAGCTGGCCTCATTCAGGATGTTGGTTTCTGGGGAGCAGAGTACCTGGCAAAATGGGGGCTCATCCTCAGTAGTATTAGTATTTGTAGCAGCAGTGGTGGTAGGATCTCATGCTCAATAGTAGCAGTGGCAGGGGTCATGGTAGTAGTGGTACTGGTGGTTTCTCTTTTTTTTTTTTTTTTTTAAAGATTTTATTTATTCATGAGAGACATACAGAGAAAGGCAGAAACACAGGCAGAGGCAGAAGCAGGCTCCATGTAGGGAGCCTGATAAGGGACTTGATCCCGGGTCGCCAGGATCAGGCCCTGGGCTGAAGGTGACGCTAAACCACTGAGCCACCAGGCTGCCCGGTTTCTCATTTTCAGTAGTGGTATTGCTAAGTACCAGCAGCAACAGTAGGTCTCATACTTGGTAGTAGCAATCACGCTATTACTAGTAGTATTACTACTACTGCTAACAGCAAGAATAATAGAGACTCATACTCAGTAGTATTGTTCCTAGCAGCAGCAGTACTGTTCCTAATATTACTGCTGCTGTTAGCAGTAGGGGCAGTAGAGCCTGATACTCAGTAGTATTACTAGCAGCAGAGCCTCATGCGCCGTAGTAACAACAACAGTAGTAGTTCATACTCAGTGGTAATAGTACTATTAGCAGTTTCAGCAACAGCTCATACTTGGTGGTGGTGGCAGTGGCAGCAGCAATACTGGTAGTTATGTAGTAATAGTAGTAGTATAATAATAACTACTTGAAAACTATCAGAAACTGCTGCAAGAACTTGACGTGTAATACTATTTTTATTTCCTTTGGCCAAATCAGGTGTTGTGTGTTATTTTCATCATCGTTTTAAGAAAGAGGCCCCATATGCCAGGTGGTTAGACAGTGTGCCAGGGGTCACACAAAGACACAAATCACAAAGGACAGAGTGGAGACTCAGTTGTGGCTGCTCCGACTTCCAAGGCTGATCATCTCCATGACGGCACATCCTGTATCAGGAGGGCTTGCCTTGAGAACTTTGACTTCAGGGTCTCAGACGCACGCAGGTTGAACCTGGGCTGGGACAAGTTATAAATGTGCTAAGAACTCCTTGGACAGGAAGTCTGGTTGGGGACTGTGCATTTTGATAGAGCTCAGGTGACGATGTCCCTTGGCTGCTGGCAGTGATGAGGGTGTTGACAGCAGCAACAGCATGGCATGTTTAGATTGACCAGGAGCCCTTGAGAAAGCCACCTTCTACTCTTTACCATCCCCACACAAATGTGGTTGTGGCTTCCCTGGTGTCTAAGACCTTAAACATCCATCCACATTTGTAAGACCCATTCTATTTTTTCTTTTTAAGATTTTATTTATTTATTCATGAGACACACACACACACACACACACACACACACAGAGAGAGAGAGAGAGAGAGAGAGAGAGAGAGAGAGAGAGAGAGAGAGAGGCAGGGACACAGGCAGAGGGAGAAGCAGGCCCCATGCCGGGAACCCGACATGGGACTCGATCCCGGGACTCCAGGATCACGCCCTGGGCCGAAGGCAGGCGCTAAACCGCTGAGCCACCCAGAGATCCCCCTTGTAAGACCCCATTCTAGATGAGCTCCTGGAGACTGACCAGCAGGAAGACTGCATGGAGGGGGTCTCAAATGGGACTGGATGATCTTGGCAGAGGCTGAGCTCTCTCTATTGTTACTCAGCAGATGCATCTGGCTCCCTGCTGAGAGCTGGTGTCTATGGTGCAAGGTGTGCAGCAGGCCTGAGAGCACGGTGACAGTCTGGGGTGGAATCAGACAGTACTGGTAGCAGACACATCTGGTGTAGGGTGGGAGTGGGTGGTTGCCTGGAGACTGCTTGATTCTTCATGCTGTGACGAGGTCAGTAGCTTTGTGATTCCAGTACAAAATGAGACACAGTGGCCTAGATGAGCATGGTGACTAGCACACGTGGTGATCATTCTTCTTCATGTCTTGAAGAGAACACATGCGAGGGCTCATACTTAGTCCTGGTGCTGGGAAGCTCAGGCAGCCCATGATGTTAGAGCTCAACCACAAGTAAACCTTGAATTTTTTTCTGGCAGCAAAAGAGGCCTGAAATCCAACACAAATACTCTTCTTTTTCTAGACTTGCCTGTTGACACACTGCTGATTGAGAGACATTAGAAATGATTTTTCATGGTGGAGCTAGTAAGGATCTGTTAGAGTTCAAAATCACTTTCAGGTGCTGTTTTGGGTATTCAGTGATTAGTGAGAGTTACTGAGTTAGGTGGGATGAATTCTTCTTTAATGATTGATTTAATGAAGCAGCTTCCCATTTTGTGCTCTTCGTTTTCTGCTGCGTGTTGGGCTTTGTATTTTAGGTAGTGTAAGATCTAAATTCAGCCTTAGGATTTTGTAAAAAGCTTAAGGCTCTGTGGTTTCTAGGCAGTGCAGTGTTACCAACCAAAGCATGGGCAGGGCCTTCCCCGGGCACTGCTGGCAGCTACCAGTGGGGAGAGGCAGAGTGATGCAGGCTAGGGTGAGGCTTTGGAGGTTGGATTTCAAAGAAATGAAAATCTTAGTCCTGTGAGAATTGAGGAATGATTATAAGACTCGCAGAAACAAGAACACAGTGTTCTTGCAGGCCAACACTAACTCAAATTGAAACAGCCAGTGAGCTCCCAGAACGCTTGGCCCCTGTGTGTACTTCCATGGGGATGCGGTGGGGACCGAGCAAGTCTCCTCCTGCTCAGAGCCCCGAGGGTAGGGAGGAAGAGCATGGAGGCTCTTTATGGGGCAGACAGCAGCAGAGGCTACCTCCTCACAGAGTCTGGGGCCTTATCTGGGGAGAGATGTGGTCTCGGCCTGCTGGTGTGTTAGTGAGGTGGCCTCATATTACCATGTGAGTTCTCTTAGTCCCCCTGCCCTAAGAGGGGAGGGGTGACTGGGTGGTAGGTCTTCTACCTGTGACCTCGGAAATGGCCCCAGGTGGCTGCCGGCATCGGACAGTGACCTGGCCTTGGCCTGAGGTCACTTTTGCTGAGTTTTTCTCAGGTCTAGGGGCTATAGGGAGGCAAGTGTTTGTCCAAGTCTTCAGGCCGGAACTCAGCTGATAGGCAAGAAGTCAACAAAACACTTTGAGCTTTCCCCCATGTAGTTTGTGCCTCGACTCAGGGCTGATTGTTGGAGGACTGTCTCAGGCCTTTGCATTTATGTCCCAAGGCTGTTCCAAGCACCTCTCACCTCTGCTTCACCCAGGGGCCTGAGGAGTGGCTGCTGGGAGCAGATAGGGCAGGCCATGAATAACCACCAAGATCCAGACAGGATGAAGGAGATGAGGAAGCTGACAGGAGACCTGCAGGAAAGACCCGCTGTGTACACCCTGCCTGTTCTTGGGTGTGGAGCCATAGGTCAGCTGTATCCACAGTGATGACCCCGAGTTACAAACAAGGTGATGCTTACACCCTGCCTGTTCTTGGGTGTGGAGCCGTAGGTCAGTTGTATCCACAGTGATGACCCCGAGTTACAAACAAAGGTGATACTTCTCATCCATTTTCTTTGAGATGGCAGGGAAGTGGGTGACTCATTTTTTAAAAATTGTCTTCATTATAATGGTTAAATTATAAAACAAAAGTCTGTGGGTCGCCTGGGTAGCTCAGTCGGTTAAGCGTCTGCCTTCAGCTCAGGTCATGATCCCGGGGTCCTGGAATCGAGCCCCAAGTTGGGCTCCCTGCTCAGTGGGGAGTCTTCTTTTCCCTCTCCTGCTGCTGCCCCTGCTTGTGCTCTTTCTCCCTTTCTTTGTT